TTCAAACCAGTATTTATTGCTAAACTGTTAGAAAGTATAATTTGTAGGAATTTAAACCAAACTGAAAATAAAGAAGGAGTAAATATTGTTGATATATTTTCAGAAGGTCTAACTTGTATTATAATTTTTATTATTCCAGTTAAAAAAATTTTTTAGATGAGTTCAACTACGGTACCTAGCCATAGTTTTATCACCGGTTTTGCTAGTGGAGCATAATTGGAGCTATTTCGGCTATAACAACATTTTTTAAAGGTACATAATTATTATTTTAGAAAATGTTCATAAAACATTTAATCACTAGTTGATTAAAAAAGTAGACCATTAATATTGCACACACACACACACAAATTATATTTCATCCTCTCATAGTATATGTATTTAATTTTTGATTATGTAACGAGCACTTTGTTTACTCACTTGTTTCGTCAAACTGCTTGAATCCTTTTTTGCTATTGATCAAATCGGTGTAAGAAATTAAGAAGCTATAAAATGTTGTTTTGGGGAGAGTTGAATATCCGGGAAAGTTGAGTTATTGCATGTTATTGCACCGTTAACATTTTAGGCAATTTTATTAACATTTGAAATTATCACAACACAACAAGACGCTTAGTTCGAATTCTTTTTCACTTATTTTTTACTACCCGAAACTACGTTACATCACACAAACCTCGTATCTGAGTATTTTATAGTCTCAATAACTGCACTAGCAAAAAACTAAAATACTTAAATATTATGACAAATATGAAATCGGGGTTTCAATATTATTTTAAAGGCCGATTCTCACCTAAGCGGCATCGAGCGAGGCAGCGCGGCGTAGGCGTAGGCGCTAGGCGTAGCGTCAGTTCGGATAGGCTATTAACACCTAAGCGGCATTTGGCAACAGCAGAACCGAAACAGTAGAGTCAAGATTATTTTCTTTTATCTATGCAGCAGAGTTTCGTTTGTATTTGAGTGTATACGCAGGTGGACAATAACGACTTCGCACACGTTAGATGATTCAACATCCTCATCATCAGAAGATTTTTTGTTTGTCGCTGCAATATGTCACGAACATGAACAGAAAAAGAGCAAAAAAAAGGGGCAATATTACAAACAAGTACTCAATATTACAAAAATATTACAATAATACAAACTATAATAGTACTATCAGTCGATCAATTTTTTCTTGTCCATTTTTTTAAAACACTATAAATTTTTACAATTTAATTAACCTCTTTAAGTCGTCGCGTGGCTTGCTTTTGACGCTTCGTTATCCTCACTTGGTCGTCAGCAGGCGATAACGCGCGGGTTTATACACGTGTACCGCGAGCCAACGCTCCTAGGAGCGTTGAAAAATCGCAGCGCCGGATGGCGACAATACGCTTGGCGCCGCTCTGCTTAAGGCCGTTTCTCATATACGCTTCATCGTGCTTTACTACGCTTGACTTCATCGAGCGTCAAAATGTCGCGTTAAAAAGTCTTTGTGTTTTCTTACGTAGTAGTTCTCAATTGCGCTACGCCTCGCTTGACAACCGGCTTGACGCCTCCAATTGTCGGTGAACGCCTCCTCTTTCGCGCATTTAATAATAATAATAATAATAAAAAAGGTTTATTGTTCCAAATCACATACAAAATACATAATATATAAATTATTTTAACAATTGGAACAAAAGGCACAGTCAGCTTCCTTCAAAGTCGAAGGTGCTGTTGAGGCCACGAAAAAAAAATATACAACAATATTACCAAACAAAAGGCAATAATAATATAATTTTGCACAAATCAATATCATACAAAACTAAAAAAAAAGACCGTACAAAAAGTATTATTACGACACAAAAAAGCAACAATCTTTAATAAACTTAGAACTTTCTACTTAAAATAGCACAAGAGGATTAAAAAAAAATTAAAAATTATATCAATTCATTCCGGGAGCAGTTGATTCTTAATTTTTCTTTTGAAAGACAGGACAGACCTCGAAAAATCAGTAATTGTGAACTTATTTATTGACGTAGCAATTTGGTAGGAAAATGACTTTTTAAAGAATTCTTTTTTATGAGCGGGTATGGTTAGAAGATGTTGTCTGCGGATATTTAGGTTATGCACATCTGTACGAAATTGTAATTTGTTGTAAAGATAAGGTGGGCATTTATGTTTCAGAATTTTATAGAAAAAACATACCGAGTGCAAAAGACGACGTTCGGACATGTTAAGCCAATTAAGTTCTCTAAGTTTATGTGACACTCTTTGTCTTCTTCTTATTCCGCAGATCAATCTTACGCAAGAGTTCTGGATTTTTTGTACTCTGTTGTTATCTTTTGAGTCGAGAAATGGACCATATACATTATCTAGATAATTAAAATGAGATAGAACAAGCGTGTCACATAAGATTGTTTTAGTTTTTTGTGATAAAAAGTGCCGCTGTGAATATATTAGTTTTAATTTTGAAAAAGCTCTGGCCAAGCAGAGGGTGATATGTCCGTTAAATTTTAGTTTATTATCCATGACTAGACCAAGGTTTTTGCAAGACTTCTGAAATAAGATAAGATTATCACCTAATCTAGGTCTAACATGCTCCATAATCATATCCCGGTAACTCTCCGCGCAGAACAATAGAGCAGTTGATTTACTTGGATTTAAATCAAGCATATGATCCGAGGATACTTTCAATATTCTATCCAAATCAGAGTTAAGTTTTCTATGTGCAGCATCAGCTTGATTCTGATTAAAAGATATATAGATTTGTGTGTCATCGGCATACAGGTGATACCCACTGTACTTAAGACTCCCTACAAAATTTGAGGTATATATACTAAATAAGAGAGGACCCAAAATGCTACCCTGTGGGACTCCAGATGAAACACTCAATATCTCTGAATAGTTATTCTCCCAAACAACTCGTTGACATCTATCTGTCAAAAATGATTTTATAAACGATGAAGCTTCTACTGTAAAACCTATGTATTTTAAAATAAGTATTAAAAGTATGTGGTTAAGCACATCAAAGGCTTTACTATAATCGAGAAGTACTAGTACGGTAGCATTATTCTTATCCTGGGCTCTCACCACATCATCAACAACATCAGTCAAAGCACTGCCACAGCTATAACCAGCTCTGAACCCCGATTGTTTAATGGGCAAGATACTAGTAACTGAAAGATAGGATCGAATTTGGGTTTCCATTACTTTTTCTAATATTTTCGACAAAGTTGGTAATATTGAAATTGAACGTAAATGGCTGAATTCTGTGGGGTTACTTTTTTTTGGTAATGGTGTCACATTAGCAAGTTTCCAAGACTTTGGGAAATAAGATCTCTGAATACAAGAATTAATTATATCAGTTATATAAGGCACTATATGAGGACAACAAAAAGATATCAAAGAGATATTTAGATCATCGGATCCAAAGGCTTTAGATCTAATAGCCAGAATAATATGAGATATTAAATCTTCTGACACAGTAGAAAAAGAAAAAGAATTTTGAGGAAGTAAACTGTTGTTATTATAATAGTCTAAGATATCCTTTTTAGGAATATTACATGTTTTTGTTGTTTGGGTAAAATATCCATTAATTTCATTGACATTTTGTAGGTTTTCTGGAATATTACTAGTTTTGTTAGACAGTATATTAAGTCGTCTTAGCTCATTCCATTGTTCCTTGGCTGTGGAGGTTTGAAACTTATAGTTAAGGTATGCTTTTTTCTCTGATCTAATTGCTGATGTTGTTAAATTCCTCATTTGCTTGTAATAATTCCAATGTTCAGGATTTTTTGTTCGACGATAACGATTTAATGCCTGGTTTTTAAGCGTTTTCATATATTTTACATTGTCTGTTATCCACGGACTATATGCATATCTTTTACACTTGATTAATTTCATAGGCGCGTGACAGTCAAAAAGTCTTAGAATGAGATCAGTCAGAAATGTAACTTTTTCGTCAATATCATCCATACCAAAAATTAAATCCCAGGGAGCACTCTCAAGATCCGATTGAAAATTAGTTAAATTCATATTTTTAAAATTTCTATATTTAATAGGTGTTTGACTAGGCTTCCTTTCTATATATTTTAATACTACGTAAACCAGAAAATGGTCCGAGACACTTATATCCTTCACACCAGAATCCTGGACATATTCAGTGTTACAACAAATCACATCAATAAGTGTAGAACTAGTACATGAAATTCTAGTAGGAACAGAAATAATTTGCTCAAGATTAAAAGTTTTGATTACATTTTGAAATTGTATGGTTTGCGAGCTGTCATTATCTATTAAATTAATATTTATATCACCAAAACATATTATTTCGCTGTTTTGTGTAAAAAAATCAATAAGCATATCCTCTAGGTATGATATAAATTCATTATTATTTGCATTAGGCGGCCGATATACAGTGCCTATAATGAGAGTTTTTGCGCCACATTCAAGTTTAACCCAAAGATGCTCAACAACATCCACAGACTCGCCACGTAAAATATCATAAATGAATTGGTTCTTAATATACAAGCCAACACCACCCCCCCGTGAATGCCTGTCCTGTCTTACAAAATTGTATCCCGGAACATCTATAATTTCATTGTTAATATTAGGCGTCAACCACGTCTCTGAAATTCCGATCACAGAATAATCATTACTTAGAACATGGTCTTTAAACGTATCGAAATTATGCACCAGAGATCTAATATTTATATGTGCTCCGTTAAAAAAGGTCATTGTAACAATTTATTAAGAAACAAATTAATTAATCGCTATTCAACTACAATTACAGCCTAATAAACTTAATCCATTAATATAATATAAATATGTCTAACCAATTCTAAATCTAAAAGGTAATTAAAGTAATCTTCTTAATATTTAAAAAAAAAACAATTCTTGTAAACAACATTAAAAATAAAGACACATTTATCGACAACACTATGAGTCTTATCTCGGTATATGAATGACCAACAGAAAAACTATCATGGGCATCAAGTTGGATTTTGACCGCCAGCACCAATAGAATAAAATCTGTTGCTTACTTGAATTTATGTATGTTTCCTGGTTGATCTAGAAGTAGTTCTTGATCTTTTCGCTTCGGACAGAGGTGCTTTGGTTGGTGAGTTGCTATTATTTAGTTCCCTTTTTTTTGACTTTTCGTTTTCTATGGTTTGGAATTTAGCTGTAGATTTTTCTTTATTTTCAATACTTAAAGATGCCGGCACAAACACTTCTTCTGAGTCAGACGTTGGATTCGGTGATTGTGGCTTAGTGCTTAAACTTCTAGATTCTTCCTGCAAAATTACTTCGTTACTTGTTGCTTTCAGTTGATTTGTAGTGTAGATATCGCCATTTATTTGAAGTCTATTGTTTGACAATATTTTTGCTGAGTAATTCTTTGCTCTTGCCTGCCTTAAGTGTTCTTGTAAAATTTTTCTTTCCTGCCTGTCTTCATACGAAAGATCTTGTGCAATTGATATTTCGGTATTTTTTAATTTGTAGCAATTCCCAATTATCAAATTCTTCTTTAGATTTGTCACAAATTCTACTTTGATTGGTGGCCCGTTTTTTGATGATACGTTATTCAGAGTATAAATATTGTCTATATCGTTTTCAGTTATTTGGACATTTAAATACTTTTGAAGTAGATCGAGCGTGAACTGTAATATATTATTATTATCCTTGTTATATCTGGCTCCAAATATAATTAAATTTTTTCTTTTTATGAATCTCTCAAACTTAATTTGATTTTCCTCAATCTTCGTGCAGCGTTCTTCTAAAATCTCGATTTTGTGAGCTTGTTCATTAATTTTATTCAGGAGTTTTTCAGTTTCTTCCTTGAAATATTCTTTTAATTGACTGGTTACTGCCGCAGATGTTTCTTCGGAAGATTTTTTTATTGTTTCTAATATTGTGGTAAGATGTTCGTTTGATAAGTCAACCATTTTAAGAACAGGTTTTGATATTGGTGCAGACCTTCCACGACTTTGTAGCCCTCAATGTTGATATGATGTTGATATTAAACTTGACCTTGTATTTTAAGTTTTCTTCAATTATTTATCTTCATTTTCCACACAAGTTTCTGAATTTCACACTACACATTTACTATCACTTGTTCTGTAGAATGCATAATTATGAATATTTTCTCTTTACCCGTAACATTGAAATATGGTTATCTATACGGAGCACTGTTTTTCGAGTCTTTCGTGTTTCGATCTAACTATTGTATCAGTGAAGTTCATCTATTTGAAGTGCAGCGTTGCTCGATCAAACGAGTTTAACGTTCTTGGGGTCCTATACAAGGTCGGAATCTGCTATTTTGGTTTGTGGATTTCTCTGCTACTAATCCCAATAACAAATTAAATTTCTCTGGAGACATTCTAAAATATTTATAAAATTTGTGTTCGTCTATCAGTTTAAAAAGCGTGTGAAATTCCCCTTCTGACAGTCTAGCTCGGAAAATATCATGTACCCAATATTTACGGCTTTTTCTTTTCTTTCGTTGTTCGTAATCACACACTAGTGCTAAAACAAATGCTTCATCTGATGAAAAACTGTCAAAACTATTCATACCATAGACTTAAAATAAAATATAGACTGAGCATCTCATTCATAAATAGCTGGAACATGCGGTCAGACAATATCTTGTTATTGTTGTGTTATTGTTTTAGGTTATAACGAGTGCGACACGAGCGATAGATAGGTTGTCTCTGTTGTAACGGTCGTTCCCTGACGACTCTGCCGAGAAACACAACACTGTCTTCGTTTCTCAAGTACACCTGAACTCTCCGTATCATAGCCGGGTATTTTTTTATTTTAATGAAGCTATAATCAATTAAAAATATATCGTATTTAAACTTTTTATATTTTATTAAGATTTAGGACAGGTTTTTTTAAATAAAAGTTTAGAAAAACGTCTTAGAGTCCAAAAAAAAGGATAAAAAATAATAAAATACACGTTATAGAAGAAATTTTATAATCGAAATTACTGTAATTTTTGAAATTAATAATAAATTATTAATTTTAGTCAAACATTTACAACCCCTAATATTAATCAAAACAGGATCTATTCCACAGATATAATAGAATCGGCGACAGGAGAGAAAAAAATATGATTGTTGTAATTTTTTTTTCTGGTTAAGTGATGTCTTATTATGTAAATTAGAGAAAAACATAAATCTGTTCCATTAAAGCAAGGAAGGTGATAGGAAGTGGATAAAATAAAAAACTGGCATTTATTTAACTCGGTACTGTCTTTATTATACCGGGTGCGTCCTAAAAGTGGCTCATCCCCCATAATTTTTTATATTTTCAAATAAAAAAAACAAGATTTAGTATGTTAGTATATGACATAAATTAGGGATTGATTGACGTATTCAATTGTTTTTGGTCACTTCCTGTTTCACCGGAAATGACTATAACTTTTAATTTTTAAACGGCACCCTCGGTATATTTCTACTTTATTCGATAGAAAATGACACTCTGAATAGAATGACCATATGTCAACTTTTGACATTTTCGCATATGGTTTAATTGTAATTGTAACACGCGGTTCATAACGACAATTTGACTCGAAATACCAAGTGTGTGGTATCAATATATTCATAAAAAATGCTTTTTCCAAATATGCTAAAGAGTGACCCTTGTTCCATTTGAAAAAATTGACATATGTATGATTAAAAATACGATTTGTACATCTTTTAACCGGCCTAGACAAGACACGAAACCCATTAGACGATCAAAACTATTTTTCCAAGGCTCCTTGATTAAAACTTAGTGTTTTTTAACAACACCATGACACCCTGGATTGAAATTTTTAAAATACGATTTGTTTTTAAGTGATAATGTCAAAGTTGACATATGATATGTCATTCTATTCAGAGAGTGTCTTTTTATCGAATAAATATACCGAGGGTGCCTTTAAAATCAAAAGATGTAATCATTTCGGTGAAACAGGAAGAGACCAAAAACAATTGAATATGTCAATAAATCCTAATTTATGTCATATATATCTACTAACATACAAATCTGTTTTTTTTTATCTGAAAAAATAAAAAGTTATAGGGGTGAGCCACTTTGAGACGACCCGGTATATTAAGAAATATTGTTTCATAATGTAATATCATTTTAAAATTTTGTATGTTATTTAGATTCTGAAGATAATTTTAGAAATAAACCTAGAATATATTTTTAATAAAAAACATTATTAATTATTAACAGGGTTATAATTATGATTTTGTTACAATGTAAGTAAGTAAATAATGTAATGTAAGAGAAAAAAATTCAGATTTTACATTTTGGCTAAAATATTATCTAAATAAGCGCCTTTCTACAACAACGCCACTGACTCTAATGGGTAAATTGAGAGTTGCCCTACCGGTCGAAAGTCGTTTCAAGACTTAAATGGATTATTTAAGTCAAATTTCTTGCAAATTTGGCACTGGCGAACCATATTTTATAGTTCTTGAAAAGAAAAAGTCAATAAAATAAACACTAAGGACTACAAGCTAAGAAAATGCGTTAATACAGCCGGGGACATAGCGGCAACAAAGCTTTACCGCACACGTGCGACGCGTACTACAAGGTAATATATGAATGAATAGGCTCCCTCGCCTCTAATCCGTGTTGTCATATTGTAAAGAACTTATCCTTTTTAAACAGTATCCGACTTATAATTTAGTAGTATAAGGACTATTTAATACATCTATGGAAATTAAAACCTACTTTTATTAAACTGTAGTATTAATATCTCAATATATGTGTATAACAAGAAAAAAAATATTGATAATATTAAAGACGTGACAACATAGGCTGGATGAGAAAGGCTCGGTCGACTGTACCCAGAAGTAAACATGTGTACAAAAAATATTGTTTGACCGCGTTGAGATGTAAATAGTGTAGTCTATATTTTATTTTAAGTCTATGATTCATACTAAACATTTCTTCGTAGCCACACTGCTGGTTTCACTTGAACTGACGCGACGCTCCGTCGCGTCGCTCCGGTTTTGAAGCTCATATGTAAATTCCATTAAATTCATCTCGGTAAATTGACGCTTTGTCGCGAAGCCAAGCCAAGCACAGTGAAGCGCGGCGAAGCGTATATGCGAACCGGCCTTTAGGTGAGGATGGTACTATGTAGCGATGGGAACTATCGAATGAATTAGACTATCGAATGGTTACTGAATGAATGATTTCAACTATCGAATGGTTTCATTCGAATAAAATCATTCATTCATTTGTATACTAAAGCATATGTGACAACCTCGCCGTGCGACTAAATGATTATCGTTAAGCCACTACTATCGAATGCTTTTTATAAATGAAATTTAGTATTCGTTTTTGATTTTGTCTGCGTCAGTGCATCATTAGTCCTTCCAAATTTTTATAACTTGCCTTCTTAATACTGTGTTATTTTTGCGTTTATTAAAATATTTAAAATACTAAAGTAGTAGTGTTTTTTTTTAAATTGATGATTGTGTACGTGTTACGTGCAGGTGGTCAAAATTTTTCTTGAAAATTTGTGTGATTTTCCGATCTTTCAATTACTTAATTTTATACGGTATATATTTATTTTTTTAATGGGAAATTTTGGTAGAAGTAACAATTTTTAAGAGAGATGAGGTGAACTTACAATTAATTTTAAAATACATATGTATTTGTATTTTAGATGTTTTAGTAATATGAATTAGTTGAACTTAATAATCATATTTAAGTAATGTGGTAATGTGGTTAAGTAAATGGTTATCGAACTGAAATTTTGGGATGGGAAAATTAAATTGATTGATTAAAGTTTTACACGTGCCAATTTAAAAAAAAGTTAACGATATTTGTATTTTGTTTATGCTAATTCTCTTACATGTAGATTTTTGCGAAGAAATATTTTATTTATTTTTAAAGTAAATGCCAGTAAAAGCAAATATTATTTTTAAATACTAATACAAAGTAATAAAAGGTAATACACATATATAATTATTTTGATTTCTAATTTCTTATTTATATTTTTCTTCTATTACACTGCATGCTTAGAAAATTAATAAATGTTTATATTTCATGATTTTAAAATTTGTTGTTAATATAACAAATTAGTTCTGTAATTATTATTATTTAATAAACCAACGTTGCCACACAAAAAATTTAGAGACTATATTATTTTTTAAATAGGATCTAATATAAATAATTTGGACTTCTTAATTTGTTGTTTATATTTCGCTACTACTTAAAAAAAATGTTTATATTAAATGATTTTAAATTTTGGTGTTAATAGGTAACAAATTATTACTGTTATTATTATTTATTAAACCAGTTTTGCTTAAAAAAACATTAAAAAATCATTTTCCTACATCCAAAATATAAAGTATTATTGCAGTGTAACAACAGAATATTAATAAAAAAATGCAAAATATATAGTCATACTATCCCTAACTAACTATAATACCAAAGAATAAATATTCTTTGCTAATACCAACTAATACGAATATACGGCAACAGCGCCGTTCATAATGTATATTTGTGTAAATACTAGCACCTCAATAAAAAAAATAATGTGTCCTTATCTTTATCTGACTCAAAATCAAAGATGCCGGCTTTTTTCATACCATTGCCACCGACCGCCGACCGCTGTCGGGTTTCTAGGAAAGAAACATACGTCGCCGGGCGACAACTAAAATCCAGTTTATATTTTATTATAATCGATCCTGACGAATAAATGAATTTTACAAATGAATGAATTTTATAAATGAATGGTTTTTGCTGCCGAATTAATATATTTCAAGGCAGATGACGCATCTATTCGATATTTTTATTTTTATTCGAATAGTTTTCGACGAATGTTTTCTTACTAGCTATCGAATTATTCGAATGAATTGCAACTATCGAATGTTTCGATAGTATTCATTCGATAGTTCCCACTACTAGTACTATGGGACGGTATCATTTGATTAAAGGC